AACAACATTAACGCGACTATTGATACTTGTAATCGCAATTGATAATGCAATTGCATACATATATACACGTGATAGGTACATTTTATTACCGAGAGAGTTACGGGTTGATAACACAGGTGCACAAAAAAAAAAAAATGTTCGAACCCACAGACCAGACCACTCATTCTATATGTATTTTGAGACGCTGAATCCATTTCCGTAGTCAGTTTATCCCCACCACGTCAGGATTTTTGGCAAAACTCAAAAAATACCCGAAAAATCACTAAATTTGCATCTTTTTGCGGCACAAAAACCAGTATCAAATGAATTCGTACTTTCAATTATAATTTTATATATTTTTTGGATCACCGAATCCATTTCTGGAGTCAGTTTACCCCCACCACGTCAGAATTTTTGAAAAAATGCGTGATACTTAATTTTTTTCTATAATAGCGTACCCGCTTGCTTTCAAAAGATCTGTGTAGTAGATTTCGTTTACGTTTAATTCCTCTATTTTTACAATCTCTTTTCAGCGTCCAGCAGTAGTCTGCCATCATATTGACATTCCACCTGCCTTGGTATCTTCTCTCCATTTCTTTAATATCTTGGTAAAAACGTTCACCTTGCTCTTCACTGTAATCACCTAAGTTTCCTGGAAACTGATCTATATGGTTGTGCAAGAAATGCATTTTTAAGTTCATTAGACATTCCATTTTTCCAAAGTTTTTTGGAAAAATTGGAATTCTGCGTCTATTTTAGACACTACTTGTTTGTAATTTTTGCTGACGAATTCATTTGATACTGGTTTTTGTGCCGCAAAAAGATGCAAATTTAGTGATTTTTCGGGTATTTTTTGAGTTTTGCCAAAAATCCTGACGTGGTGGGGGTAAACTGACTACGGAAATGAATTCAGTGTCTCAAAATACATATAGAATGAGTGATCTGGTCTGTGAGCCCGAACATTTTTTTTTGTGTGCCTGTGTAATCAAATAATATACGTAACGCCGTATGAATCGCACGTTAAAGCGCGCGAGAAAGATCTATATGTATTATCAATTGAAACTGAAATTTATACATCAAGAATTGATATATATATATCGTGAACTCTATTCTATAAGAATGAGAGGAAGCCGGGCAATTCTGTCGAACGAAAGATTAATGCGCAAGGACACTCGAGTGTCTCCGCTTTGTGCTATCACTTCTCTCTCTAATACGCTCGTCTCTCTATCCAGAAAGGAAATGTCGGATAGACGGCAGCTTTTGTGCGACGAGAATCAGACGACGAGATCGATATACACATTGCCATTGGGATCCGAGCTATTGACGATTGACAAGCTGGTTTAACACGTGCGCGCGCACACACACACACACACACACACACGTGCGACGTCTTTTTACGAAACGCGCTAATAAAATAATATCGACCGTCAACTGTCGGAGAGCGAGATTTCTCGACACACCGTAAATCATTTGTCGCTCAACAGAAATTAATGCACGATGTTGCGAATGACGTGTGTCACCTTAACGAGCTTTTGGTCGATTCGTAAATCAATTATTTGGCTATTCAATTATAAAGAGACGAAAAGTGTCTTCTCTCTCTCTTTGAAGAATGTTATCACTTAGTTTTTAGTTTAAAAGACTGAATATTAATCAATTTATTGTACATAATGTAAGTGGGAGAGCTATATTGATAACTTTTGTTCTATAGAAAAAATAAAAAATGTAAAGAGAATTGAAATTAATATGTAAAGCGCATTAAGTATGAATAATGAGCAAATTGCTGAACCGTATATAACCTCCTGACTCAATAATATCGGCGGTTCCGCTTCTCGTCGATCATCGTGCGCGTAATGAAGCGCGTCAGTGTTGGATCTTTGCAATAATCCGTACTGTTAAAGATGCCGTTATTCTGACGCGTTCCAATCAAGGAACAAAGTTGAAAAAAGAAGCAACATCATTCTCGAAGACGAAACACAGTCGTCACGGACTGATAAACAGAAACGCGACCATCGAAATCCAATTCATTCTGCGCGCCGTCCCGTAATTTCTGTGAGCGTCAAATCAACCACTCCGCACCGGGTTCGGTGTCGAGTTTCAAGTTTATAATTCGTAATCACCTGAACCTCGCACGCTATCTGTGTAATACATAGGAGAGTTCGGAGCTAGTTACACGAAGCTGCGCTCGCGCGTTTCCAGTTTCGACCGCATCCGGTATCACTAAATCCGTCGCGCGAATACGGACAAAATTAGATTGTTGCGGATCGCTGATCATATTGTGACGAATCAAAAAACTTTGGATTGTTGTTAACGGCAGAAGTGATACTAGCCTATAATAAGACTACTCTCGTACACGCGGTCAAACAAAATCGAAACGTATCGTAATAATTGCTGGCGATATATACAGAGAGTACGTGTTTATCTATGTGAGTTTATCCACGTGTTTATCCACGCAATCGAGATTTGTATAAATTATATATATACTATTTGTCGAATACAGTTTTAATATTCTAGTAAATTTTAATAACTTGGCACTGTGATACAGGCCAAAGTTAATATGACTCTTAAGACGTCTAGATTTAGAACATACGTAAATATAAAAGCTTTCATCTGAGTCAACAACAAGAAACACTGAAACATAAATGTTTTGTCAACATGTTCGAGTGTCTCAAAAAATAAACCAGAAGCAAGTTTTAAGCGGTGCGAAACATTGAAGAGACGAAAAATCGACTCTCGCTATCATTAAATTCTTTACTTTAACTGTGACGAAAATCTCGTCGAAGAAAAACACAAGTGAGCACAGCAGATTCGTTTCTGGACGGACGATGCTCTTACTATCAACTTCCTGCTAGACGCGATACACACGCTCCTACACGTTATAACGCCTGGAGGGTCAATGATCCGCATAGTTCACAGAGTTATTGAAGTTTTTAACGTATATTATCTCATGAGAGAAAAGCATTTGCCTGTCGCTAATTCTGCGAGAATTTTCTGCTTCTTCAAGCAGATCGCTAATTTTATCTTCGAAAGAGATCGTTAACGAGTTACAAGCAACAGTGAATTTCAATGAGATCAAAACTACTGCGCCGTATTTTACGCGATAATTATCGCGTAATTGTAGCGACAAAATGAAACAGTTGAACGCAATGACTTTAAAAGCTAAACTGTGTGCGCATATAAATTTCAAAACAAAAAACGTAACTTTATATTGCTTTCACGATAGCATGATATAATAAAAGTTGAATATACAAAAAAAATGAAAAAGTTCTATCTTGCCTGAATAAAACCGATAAAGCGAATCAGAACTGAATGATGAAAACTGAAATCCGAATACTAAAATAATAGTCAAAAAAATCTGTCCAAGTCGACTAGCGCGCAAAAAGGTTTTCGATCATTGTAAATTCGCGGTTGAATAAAAACAAATGGTCAATGCTACATTTCATGTCTATTGTACGCTCGCAAAAGATAACCATATAAATAAATCCGATTAAAACGGAATAACAAAAAAATAAATAAAGAAATAAATAAAAACGTAGTACATACGAGCTGATGCGTATTAAATCTTCTGATATCGATTGTTTTCCAAAGCACAAGTAATCTTACAGTCGCTGTACGCAACTCTTTCATACGGAATATTTTACAAGTACGTAAGAATGTCGCGTGAATTTGCACGAAGCAGGAAAAGCACAGATTCGAGGATAAAAGCAATCGTTCTCGGGAAAGTAAATTCTCGAATCAAACCATCGGGAAAAACTCTTCACCTACAAATGAGTATAAGTTGAGCGAGCGTTAGTTTTTCTAATAATCAAACGTGTAACCTGGTTTTTCTGCCGGTAATATTTCTCCTTATAAAGAATTACAGAATTCTGGGAATGAAAGAATCGCACGACAATCGTTTGTTTTTTAATTCAGAATTACAGCACACTGATAAGTTACAATACTTCGAAGCATAAAACTTTTAAAGACACAAATAAAAAGTGTCTTCCGCGAAACACGATGTCATTTTCTTTTGTGTGTGTGTGTGTGCGCGCGCGCGCGCGTGTCGCATTCGCGACAAGATCATAAAACCACGATCTCTCCGCTCACCATCAATTGCAACATCGGTTAGGTCGCTAATTCTGAGAATGACTAAATTTTCTTTCTCTATGTCTATTTTAAAGAAAGTTTAAGTTATGAAAAAATACAAGTAAATGTGCAAAATTGTAAAATATTACTTTACTTCGATTGATGTTTGCATTTTAAAGAATTTATATGAATAAAAAGAATGTCAATAATTTTGCAATTTGTTTTTGTTTTTTACATCTAAAGTATTGTAAACGAGAAAACACTAGAAATTGATAAATAAGTTAGAGTCGCGAATATAAATATAACTGTGTTATTCGATCTTGCGACCTTTATGAAAAGCTCTCGCTCACGCAATACATCCGCGTCTAAATTCTCATTTTTGATATTCATCAAAATAAAATACAAATTTCAAGTTACATATATATGTATGTATATAATTTTCTAACAAGTATAGAGATAAGAAGTTAAGTGTTTTTCTCAAAAACTGTTAACAGATAACAAAAAGAGAACTTCTGCTTTTGTTATTTTTGTTTACTTATCATTAATAAAAATATCAGTACTTGACTTCTTTCTCTTACATTTATGCTCCGGAATTATTTACATCTTTTCTAATAACAAAATTAAAATTCGCCATGGCAACTGGGAGCGAAGTAGCGCCAAAATGACTCGTCAACATGATCCCGATGGCGTGTTTGACCCTTCGCGCATTTTTGACAGAAGGTCTGTGTTTATCAACAAGCAGTCGGCCATTTTTCGGGTGCGCGGCGCTTAGCAACATTACAGGGCGTAACCATCGAACGGAGCGAAAATTCATATACCGCGCATTCCCCATGCCCTAACCCCAAAAAGTCCCCATGACGTTTCTCGAGCTCGCGGGAAAAAGAGAGAAAGAAGAAAGAAAGAGAGAGAAAGAGAGAGAGAGAGAGAGAAAACAATCTCCGGAATTCCGCGAATCTTACCTTCCGGATACGCCTGCTTGCTCTGCACCAGGTCGATGAACATATTCGTAACGTTGTACAGCTGTCCCATGCCCTTCGGGTTGAACTTGGTGGTGGCGTTGTAGGGCAGCCCAACGGTGTTGAACGTCGAGTAGCTGAGCGCCTGCGAGGCCATTATTTCGTTGAGCTGACGATCCAAGTCCTCGCTTATCGCCCGCATGCGATTCGTCAAACTGGTTTCCTGCTGGCATGACACCGGGCACCACACGAGCACGAACGATAGGAGGCATACACGTAAAAAGAGCACCGAAACCGTCGCCGGTCCATGCGCATTCGTAAGCCGACACATCGCAACAACTCGCGTCCAAGACGCGCCACCACCGACTGGCTCGTTCTCTACTGGCACGAGCGGCGCAACGTGCGGAACGCTCGGAATTGGACTAGACTAGAGCGACGCTACTCCCTACTCCCACCCCACTCCTTCGCACTCGTCTTTTCTCCCTTTATCAGAAGGCGCTGCGCACACCAGGAGTAACAACAACGCTTCGGCGCAGGGATCAAGTTCAGTCACAGGACCATCCGTGTGATACAATTCGGATCTATCTCCAAGATTTGTATGTAATACGTAATTGAAACATAAAGCGATTGACTTAAACATTTATAAAATATACTTTCAATTTTCAATTAGTTTCTCTGAGATGTTTATGCGATTGAAAAAGTTTAATTTATTCAATCTGAAATATTTGGACTTATAGTTTGAATTAAAAGAATTTATTTTTTAATATTGTCAGCCATTGCTGAATTAGGGAACAATTGCCGCTCGTTCCGCTATTCTTTACGTCTCGGAAAATGTCGAGTGCAGAGTCGCGCTTACATTTTGTTTTTTGTGTTAATTTGTTTTGTGCGTGGAATTATCGATGCGTAATTATCGTACTAATAGCATCGTTGTCATACGCGACGGATTTACGTCAGATATGCACTTAAAAAACATTTAGATCGTTAATTACTCGCAATATCGTCTGATCAAATCGTCAGCCGACGCAATTCGAATCTTGATCGTGAGAAAACGGCGTTGAGGGGGAAGGGAGAGGAGAACACAAATGGACGAGTCACTGCGATGAAATCGCGCGCTTGTTTTCTCATATTTTAATCGCGCGTTGATGACATTTCTTATGAAATTATCGGCACACATGCGCGTTATCGTTGTAACACGTGGGAAAATCGGATTTAGAAACTTTGTTGAATGTGAAATTTATGTAAGATGTCGGTCGAGAGCTGTTTGTCAACGAAATTTAAATCGCGATTTCGAGTGAGAAACAAGCCTGGCGAGAAGAGAGAAAATTCAAGAAGACTTTCGTACATTCGCACGTATTACGAGATTAGTTCGATCGGTATCTATTCTGAAAATGTATACAATAGTCTGACGTGTTTCTCGAAATGAAAACAACTTATTGCTCATACACAATAACAATGAATCAAAAACAGTAAACTTTGAACAATGTATGAGTCGTGTTTGTTTGCACAACAATATATTTATATCTATACGTATATACTTTATAAACTTGAATTTTAGCGCTCAGTTTTAAAATAATAATATGCTTTTCATTTACATTTTTTGCACCGATAATTTTATTAATATTTAATATCTTTTAAACTGAAAATTAAATGATTATAATATTCCTATTATTTTTTAAGGTGTTGGTAAAAAAAAGACTCAAAGTTAAGAAATATATTTAGTACTTGAGATGTTATTTATGTGACGCGAGATTGCACAATGGGTCGATAAAAAATAAGAATGGTAGAATGTGACTTCTTTGTTATCCAGGTAATCTTTAATTTTACGTTGTTCTAAATGCATAGGATTGTATATATATGAGTAATTCTCAAAAAAACGTAATCTCCGTGTTATATTGACATAAAAACATAGATAAGTTTTTTTATATTGCATAGTTATGTATTCATATTACGAATGGTGACTTAAAATGGTATGAAAAAACATAATTCATCGCTATCCGTTAGTTTAATAATAATAATTTTTTATCGAAAATGAAATTTGAAATTTACGCGTTCACCGAGAATCACCGATAGAATATATAATAGTCAGTAACGCGGTAAAAAGCTTGAAAAATATTTGCAGATACTCCAAAGCACAAAATGCGTTGTAACATTGTACGCTAGGTATCTGTCATCTATAATATTATGGCTTGTTAGCGACACTGCGTAACAACACTGCATTACTGATTCCACAAGTGATCAAAATTCGTCATTTAATACGCCAAATTATTGAGGAGGACCGTATTATCTACAATATCCGTATTATCATTTTTTCTACGTACATGGTATGTACCAAGCATGTTTTACATTAAATGATACAGTTTTCTTGACGTAACGACGTTACTATAACCGGAGAAAGCGATATTCGTGCCGCGTATCGTGATAACCGCCATATAATGATTATCGTGAGAATATATGATGATTATGCACAAATTGTCTTACAAACGTGATTGCGTCATGGTTATATACCGTGAAGTATTTATACGGGAACATTTGTTTCAAGTATTTTTTGTGTTCTATATATTTTATCTTTATTCATTATCTTTATTCACTAATTTCTCATTGTAATCCTCTGAAAATCTTTTCTAACAAAGAAGCTAGATTTTCAGTAACAGTGAGTATAGTCGATTGAACGCCAGTAGATAAGAGTTCATTCAAAAAAATCAGAATAAAGAACATTGAAGAAAATTTCTTTCTCTTTCTATATCATGAAAAGAAAATTACGATATTAATATCGCTTAGTTTGCGCACTGAGAACAATGGGATCGTACAGTCAGTCATGAACGCGACGGTCATCGATTAGATCGCGAAAACTCCGCTAGGCGATTTTGTTTGGTCAACCCAAGTCCCAATGCGCATCGTTTCTCATCTCACTGAAATCAGGTGGCGCGCAGAATGTGCGGCAAAATCGGGGTCACAACTTCACGACATCGAAAAGTGCATTTCGATCACGCGAGTCGGCCATTGCCTTTTTGCCGCGGTGACCCGAAAACTCGTGTCAGTTTCGAACAAAGATTCCGTTGAAAGTTGGAAGAATGAAAGAGAACATTTAAAACATCTAGGGCTTGTGTAGAATTAAACCAAAAGGATAATAGTAGAGTGAATGATTATGTTTCTATATATCTTATATTTATTATGCATAAGATATTGTCACTCCCTACGTATAATCCTGTAATTCCAAAACGCAAATTTTAGAGGAGAGCAGTTAAAAGTTTAAAGTTTCATATGTTTCCCTAGTTAAGGGATCTTTCGGTTTTAAATTTTTACCTTATAAATATTTTTTTAAATATTTGATGACCATAAAGAACATGAATTTCTAAATGTCATTATGCAAAAAACTGAAAATCTCGTATGTGACACTTACGTAATTATACGCAGGGAGTGACGATATGTACATGGGCGATTTGTTGAATTCTTTCCAAAAAATATATACATAAATATGTAAAACAAATAAAATACGTAGATATTTTTTTATTATAATATTTTATCAATTTTGTTGGTTTGCTTATTATTGTTCTCAATTTTGTATATCTTGTATTTTTCTGAAAACACATAAGTTCTGCAGATTCCAATAAATTCGAATAAATCCACGTGGCGGTCGCCACGATAATGTTAGCGGCCGTAAATTCTTTTACGATAGCGCATTTCGATTTCAAAACTTACGACGAACAAAATGAATTTTATAGCCCGTATACATTTTGAAAAAATTGTAACATGTATATTCTCTTTTGTTTTAAAATTGATGGAAAAGAAAAGAGGATTTTTACTTTTTAAAAACGTCAATTTTCAATATTTACATATTGAATAAATTGTAGAATTACGATTGAAAAAGTACAAGAAAGAAACAATTCTAGCATTTTTACGCGCACACATACACGTATACACGCATATAAATTAATATACTCGCTTTATTGTCAGTTAACATCATAATTACATCACATTTACATTACGCGTATTATATTTCTCAATTATTTGATATTCAAATACACTTACGAATGTATGATATACACGTTTTGAACATTTTTAAAATACAGTTTAACCGTGTTTACGTTTAAACGCTTACTTTTTTAATATTAATGATAAAGAGAGATGTTATATTATTGTAGTCGTTATATAATTGATAACTAAAAAAGAAAAAAAATAAAGAAGATAATTGAAATATAGCGAAAAAAATATATGTATATAATATATCTCAAAAATGATACGTTAATTTCAAGAAACTAATCACTAACTATATTTTTATAATCATTAAGTACATTTTTTCCCTCATTTCAATATGTTTCTGTGTTTGAACCATTTTTTCAGTAAGATTTTATCTTAAAATGATAAGAAAATTGAAATCTAAAATATTATTAAATACGATGTAACATTTTCACACACTTTCTTAAAACTATAGTCAAAGTAGTGCGGCAATGTTCGATAAAACAAGTAGATAAAAAAAGCGTTTTAAAACTTCTTTCTAATAATTTTATTCTAAATTCGAAAATATTGAGAATGAAGAAATGTAAAACTCTCTTTAAGTAGCGTGACTCTTTGATGTAATGGGCTTAGGTAATTCCTTGGCACTCGTGAATTCATCGGATGGAATTCCGGGCATTTCCAACTCAGACGGTAAATTCAGATCCTCTTGCGAATTCACCCAATAATTTGTTCTATGAAAAAATCAAATATTTTATGTAATATTGCAGGTAAAATACATAAATTCTAAATGAGAGACATTAAATTACTAAATGTATTTCGATATTTAACCCTTTCGTTACGGGTGCCGACTATAGTCGGCATCCGCGCGACGACCTGCGTATCAGGTGCTAAATATAGTCGGCATCACTCCAGCGGAGCGGACTGTCGTAACAAAAGGGTTAAAATTAGATAAAGTTGGTTAAAATATTAAAAATGCATAGAAGAATGTTGTAAAGATAGATTTCTTTTGACAAAGTACTCCTTACTTTGATTGTTTGCTTTATCAATTACAATCACAAGTGTACAGATTATATTTTTACACACGTTGCACTTTCGAAGCTTATAGTTACTCGTAATAAAATGCAAATAAAGTTGCATGTAATATACCTGTCAAGTACGTCAGCTGGTGCAAGACTTTCAATGTCCGTCGAAAAAGCTCGTTCGTTTACTGCCTCACTTGTGGCATTATTATCATGGATCGTAAGCGTAGGTATCGTCAGTAATTTATTTTCTCCGTTATTCGTAATCAAAGTGGAATTCCATGCTGAATCTGATGTTTCCACTTTAAGTTTTTCAGATGTTATTTTTCGCTCCTGAACAAGCTTCTCCTCGCTCGTTTGATAATTAATTTTGGGTATTTGCCCAATCATTTCGTCCGGATACCGATGTAGCACGTTTTTCTCATAATAATATTGTCCAGGTCTCTTGGTAACCGGCGAATTGTTCTTCATCTGCTGCACCAATGGCCTTGGAATCTCGGTACTAACTTTAGGCTGAGAAATGTATCCGGAATGACCAGGATGGTGAACAGTTTCGATTGTTTCAGTGACGATCGTTATGCTTTGCACCTTTGTGGGTTTGAAAATAAAGCTTCCCTCTGGTCTGTGTATGTAAGAATTTTTTGTCGAAGTTTCTAACCAATATGGGGTGTTGGAAAATAGTTGATCATCTTTCTGATGATAAATCGGATGACTTGTTGTCTGATAGAGTGAAGAGTTTTGAACAGGTCTATTAACGCTTTCTTGTGTATAAGATGAGACATCCACGGTACTTTGAGTAGATAATTGTGTCGTTTCATAATAAGTCGAAGTGATGTCAAAATACCGATTGTGATTATTGTAATCTGTGGGGAATGAATTACTCGAGCTAGTTGACGTATATTCTTGATGTGGGATGTTTGTTTCAGAACTCGGAACAAATCCGTAAAGTCCAGTCTGCGCAGAATCTTTGATAAAATCGAGCGATTCCTTCCAGGCTTGAGAATTATATTCACTGCTTGGTATGTTAGTTACATGAGAATTGTCAGTATTATAAATTGTCAATTTAACATTTGGTCTTTTTCTATATGCATCAGGATCATCGTGATCATATGGTTTTTCACCGGGTCTTGTTTGATAACCGTTTGAATTCCATTGATTCTGATGCGGTCTATTCAAATTAGAAGAGTAACTTGCATTCGGTTTGCTCAAATTGTTACTTTGCAAGTGTGGATTTTTGCCTGTTTTTTGTGTATCATATGGCTGATGATTCGGCCTGATGGGATCTGGACGTGAACTTACTGGGACCGCAGATTCTTCATCAATCGGATTTTGTGCATGATGCATTTCATTGTACGGCCGCGCATTCGATGAAGGTTTAGGTCTGTTATAATCTAAAGTTTCTTTGTGATATAGTTCATCATTTGAATTATAATCCGGTCGGAAAGTCGGTCTCGTGGTTGTCGAAGGTCTCTGTCCATCGTAACTCGGTCGTATGCTTGCTGGTGGACTAGCATAACCTGGGTTTTGTTTATCGTTCAATTGATAATGATGTTCAGAATTCATCGAAGGCTTAGGTCTTTCGTAAGCGTGTGTTGGAAGCGAATCGTGATGCGAAGATCCGTAATTAATCAAATAGTCGTCAACCTCGCGATCGGGCATTTGAGTGGTAGACTTCTGCTGAAATCTCGTGTAATAAGTGTAAAGAGTCGGTCTAGGATTGGTGGCGGAATAGTTGTCGTAGAAAACGTCATCCTGCGTGAAAACAGGCGATCTGAATCCGTAAACGAGTGGATTTGGATTATTAGGATCGTCGAAAGCGTGAGGAACGTACGGATACTTTGCTAAATGAGGAATAGTCGTCGGTATAGGTTTTAGTTGCGGAAGAAGTGCAGGGAAGTTCAGAGCCTCATTAAAATTCGAAGTCGGTTTAGAATTAGGATGTTGTTGTATTTTGATGTGCGAACCGTAAATACCTTCGTTTACAAAGATAGGTGAGTTCACGGCGTTGTTATTAACCACAATTGTGACGTTGTTGTTGTCCGGACGTCCAAAAGGTCTTTTCACAACGATTCGGTTGTTCTGATTGATACTGGTCTTCACAGGCTTCTGAGGTATAAATGTTTCTTGATCTTGATTAGGAACTTTTTTCTTCAAATTAACGTTTTCTCTTTTCGATCTAAAAATAGTGTCACTTGTTTCGGTTGCTGTTTGTTTGTCTTCTTGCGAATCGTCAACGTAGCTTCTGAATTCTGATGGCCGTTGAGCCCAATATTCGAGATTCAATTGCCCAATGATCGGATCGTCGCAGGATAAACGTTGATTCTTTAATCTGTCCGCCGTGAGAAAGACAAACGGTTGTAAGGTCTCAATACTGTTCATTGTTCGACACAGAACTTGAGCCAGAGTGACTCGTCTGATCTGCTGCAGTTGACCGAGAGTGAAGCTGCTTTCGCTTTCGGGATTCTCGTACCAGAATCGATCGCCGCGTCGTAGATTGCTAAATTGCTGACCAATTATGCAAGCAAAGGTTGGACCGACCAGACCGCCAACTACCGACTTCTCCGCGAGACCGGCCGAATAGAGATCGATATCCTCCACGGACGCGTACAGCGATCTAAATTTCCTCGCCGCGTTTTGGAACATCACTCTATCGAGATCGTCAAAAGTTCTTATCGGCGACAAACCGCACGGCTCTCGCCATCGCACGTAAGGTGGCAAACCATGATCTCTGCCGCGCTGGATATTGAGAGAGGCCAGATCCATGCCGAATGCAAAACCGGATGTTTGAAAAAGATGATTCGTTATCTCCTCGGATATGAACTCGTCTCTCCTTTGACACGGTTGATTTACCAGACCCAGAAGTAGCCGATCTATAGATCCTGCTGTTTCTAGATTTGCGGGGTTGTTAAACTCGTCGTGGATTGAAACGTCTGCGACAAAATTTGTTGTGCAATTAGCTTAATAATTTTCTTTTTAATGAAATTATATACGATCGTGATTACGTTAGAAAAATATTGTGAGCTCTGTCTTTAGTATGTATCAAGTCTACTCACGTGCGCTGGCCACTTACTACGACGACAATATTAAATGTATATATACATATACTAAAGACAGACAATATTAAATGTATATATACATATGTATATGTAGCATGATGCAGCAAAATAGAGATACATCTCTTAAATATTGTTTTACTTTTTTTATTTTTAACACTATCCGTGGATAAAATTTTTCATAATAATGAGTTTTAGGCTCTTTTAATTACAAACTATGTGAAGTGTTGAATGGTTCTAGGAGTCTTACGCTGGATGTTTGTTGCGTAATAAATACACATATACCTATATATATTTTTTATATTATACTTCACGTGTAAATTTTTACACGTTAATTTGAAATTTCAATTTTTAAAGTCATATATATGCTATACTTGCATCACATATATGAGATATCCCCGTTTATTCCCCTAATTTTAAAATATTGCGAAAAAAAACACCTCGGCCAGGAGTCGAACCCAAAATCTCCGGTTTACCGTGCCGTCACCTTCCCAATTCGGCCATCGAGACACTTAGTTCCGGGTTCGACTCCTGGCCGAAGTATTCGTTTTGCAATATTTTAAAATTAGAGAGAGGAAGGGTAAACGGGGATACGTGATGCAAGTACAGCATCCTATATGAATTTAGAAATTGAAATTTTGTTTCAAATTCACGTGTAAAAATTTACACGTGAAGTATAATATAAAAAAAAATATATACATATATTTATTTATTTATTACGCAACAAACATCCAGCATAAGGCTCCTAGGACTGTTCAAAACTTTGCATAATTTATAAAATTTTTATTTTAAATTATAATTAAAATTGCAAGTTATTTCTTAGGGTAAATTATAAGTTATAAAAGAAGAATTTGATTTTCACTTACTATTAAATATAGGCCTATGGTTGCTATCAAATCTGACAAAACTTTGCTGGACTAGCGAATGGCCGAATCGATAAGCCGCCGTGGAAAATGAATTTGCAACGGTGGGATTTACGGTTGGGTCGTACCCCTCATAGTAGCCCTTTTTAAGAACTTCCAGGTCAAAGATTTTCATCACTTGCGGACCTGAAAGGTTGTGCAGCATTTTTAGAGAACACTTTGTCTCTCCTAACACTTGCAAAACTATCGATGATCACGTTATTATTGAGTGAATATACGATTACATAGGAGGAAGTTAGCTTACCAAGAACGATTGGCAGGAATTCTCGATAAGTTATATGTTGAACTATTGCGCCGACGATTCTTCGGGTTTCTTGAAAAAGTTTTTCGTCGCTCCAGTGGGAATTTAGATCAGATAATTCTGTAGCTATTCTGTTGTGCAATCTTAGAAATACTACGTGCAAGGATGTAAGAGCAGGCTGCTCACTGAGACGTCCGTCGCCGGCGCGGAAGCAAGTCGTCGACAAAGATCCACGTTTGCATAAATCGGATTCGCGTTTCGGTAACGAAGATTTTCGCGACTGAATTCTTCCGTACTGCAGCAAACCTGAAATGGGTGTTTCTCTTCAAGACATAGAAATTCTCTTCTTCTCGTGAGATAGAACAATTACGTCTTTTTTTTTTTTTTTTGCTATTCAATGAAACTTGCCGTTTCGGAAAATTCTCAGACTGTCACTATGCATGGCATTACTGCTGTAAACCATGGAGGCATCCAGATAACTGGTCACCTGAGACAATTGCTCCCTAGGGCCAAATTCACAACCCTCTTTAGGAGCCGGTCCGCTTCTGAGAAATTCCAAACACCTTACACCCAAAGGACCGTAGAAGCTATCGCGAAGATTCACTGCTATCGGCAGACACTCCGGATGCTATCGACATTCATTAGAAGTGCACTTTCTAAACGTTTTCTCGCGGAAAATCGAACTATACGGAAGTTTTTTTTAGTGTGAAACAAAAATTACGACGCTTATGAATCATGCAATTGGCGTGAAGTTTTGACCGAAGTATGAAAGATTTAATGCAAATATCAACGAATATATAAATGACTCTTTTAGACAATGTTTCAAACACTTATTTTTAGAGGCTATATAACTAAAACTTATTAATATAGTTGATTGACTCATTACCATAAACTCTGGTGGTTGAAAACCGATACCTCCTTGTAAACAACATTGTGGCACAGTACCGTTAAATCCTCTACTTTGACCGGTTGCTATTAATAAACAAAATTATATACTCTGCATGCTTAAAACATTTTAGAAGAAAAAATGTGTAAGTTTTAAAATACGTGCCTGTCAAATCATGATCTACAAATTGTCCCCACTGCATCAGCATGTGAGTAACGGAAGCCAGAGGTACGTCTTTGTCCTCGTGTACCAGATTAGTGACCTCTCGTGCACTTGGAAGTGGCCTTCCTGTTATTGATCTTCTGATACTTTGAACGCCGTCGTCGTATTCCGGAGATAGAAATCTGTATAAAAAGTAATTTGGAGTAGTTTCGTTAATTTGTTTAATTAGGTAATTCTAAATGTTATAAATTGTCATTCTTTATCTACCTCTGCATCGTTGACATTGCGGAACCCCACCAGAGATGCTGCAGATTATTGCAGCTGCCATCAGATGTCCTGTATCTTAGACTAGCCGGTGGGCATTGTGGTGGATCTCTGCGTGGACATTGTTGTTCCAGCGAAGTTGTTCTCCGGACAAACTTGTTCCGAGATAAAGGCAATTCCAACGGTGCGTTGGGAAATCTGAGAAGATCGCGGAGTGTAAAAATAGATACAAGTTCCGACAAGTTTATTGTTGTTTACTGCAAACCTACTTATTCAAAAACATGGCGGTGCCTTGAAGAGTTGCGTAGCCGAATCTCGCGAGAGCTTTCGCTTCTTCCGATTGCTCGTTAAACGCTGCCACGTATCTCGCTGGATTATCGCTCTCGAGATAAAGACCTATTCAATTTTCTTATTTTTATTCCGCGTGTGTGAGGCAATTCTTCGTGAAATATAAATTCAAAATATTCAGCTAATATAGGATTGTAGATAAAATTATACGTATATATAAAAAAAGTAATTTACTTTCATTTCATCGCTTACCCATCGAATACAATTTAGGTTCCTGGATGTAATAAAGATTGTGCATGGCCTGTAATCCGTAATTTGCGGCTTCCATCAGATAGTCTTCTTTGTGTTCCCAGTTTTCTTGATCGGCGCGACTTTCCGGAGTTTGATTTCCAACTTTCGGGTCGGCACTCTGTGTTTTCGTGATCGCATCGGTCGTTCGGAACAAACTCCCGTTCGACTTTTCAGCGAAGTGTTCTTTTGTTGATGGAAAAATGTTACCGGTGTTAGAATCTTTATTTGTTTCGGCCCCATTATTTGGCTCTTGAAAAGATTTCATTTTCTTTGATGTGCTATTTTTCACATTGGTCAACAATTTCGAGATGGCACTTTTGACACTTGAATTATTCAGCGAATCCTCCTCTGTTCTAACGGGCACGTTTTCTGTTTTTTGATTTTCTTGATACTCTTTCTTTCTTCTCACGAGTCTACCTGCCACAGAGTTTTCCGAAATACGCGGAGTTTTCAAAAATTTATGTTGGATTTCATCTCTCGTCTGACTCGTCTCTTTCGCAAGAATGTACGTGATTCCGTTGAAATCTCCCGGCTGTAATAGATCCATTGCTGCCTTCTGTATCTCTTTCTCGAGCAACTTCTGTTTGTATTTCAACCGCGTTGCATCGACAGGATACGAAGTATTTGCATTGCTTTTCTCGATGTCTGAGGTTAACGGATTGTAGTCTGATGAAATATTTACTCTCTCTCTCGAAACATCCGTTGATGTGGAAAATAATTGTTTCTCTTTATCGGAATTTCTAACTTCGAAATTGGACGCTTGGCTTTTGGCGTGGAATTCGTTTTTATCATGTTGTTCCTCGGATTTAGATGATAACACGCAGCAGAGAGAAGAGAGAATAATGCTGAGATCAAAGCAACAATAAAATTATTAAACTTATCCGATAAAATCGTTTAACATAATGCAATGCATTTTAGAGAGAAAGAGTTTTATAAGTATAAAATGTGTTATTTCTTTGAATAACGTCGTAGTAACCTGACAAGTCGTTAATGTTAAAACTCTAAGACGAAATAGTCGATAAATATTTGACTTCATTCGGTGTCTAATAATTTGTAGGATATTTCGACAATATACGCGCGAGTTTATATTGGTCGTAAAGCATAATATAATGACGTTGAAAATTAATTATCTTACACATTGTACGAGCATATATGATAACGATAATATTATTATTAAAAAAAACTATTAGTACGAAGATAAAATGCCGATACGTGGTAGTAGTCTGAAAGCTGTTTGCAAAGAATAAATTTATACAACAACAATTGACGATGTTTAATAAGATGTTGAAATGTTAAAAAACCGAAGAAACAAAACGGACAAGATGAATCGAAAGTCACTAAATGATCTTGTCGGCACAGTGTGACGTTAGGATCGAGAGAGATGTAACGGGACCGCGAATTGTAGAACAGTGAAGACGTGGAATATAAAAAATTGATAATGATCTTATGTGTTGAGTTGAAAACATTCTTTTGTGTGAATTTTGATAGTAAATATGTAAAAATATCGGAGAAATATTAAAGCGAACACATGTTTACGTTTAATATTTTTGAAAGTTTTAATGATAACAAAATTCGACTTGTGAATTAATCTTTAAATGCAAATTTATAGCCAAAAGCCATTTGTTAAGATATTAATTAAAAAACCTGATAGATAATTTTTAATCTTAGAATAACTTCAAAATAATCTGCAATTTTTATTGTGAAAAATAAATATTTCACTTATCGACTAAGTCGCTAAATAATGTTTAACAATTTAAATATTATTAATAAAAGCTATATCATTTATATCACAACTCACAAGATTGCAAAGTGCATTTTGCTTGATGACATGTTCCTGATAGCACTCAAAACATCCAGCGATACATACTTGTCAGCGTAAAATTGACGAAAAGATAAAACGCAGCGTCGAACAGTGTGACGCGGAAACGAAAGAGAGCAAAATCGCAAAACGGGAAGTTAAAAATGAAAAAAACAAAAAAAAAAAAAAGAAAAGGACACTGGGACGTGCGTGAATCGTCAAATCGAGTCGTCGGCCTTCTCGAGGACGGTTAACCAGGTACTAACCGGCGATCAGATCAGCCGACTGGTCTTATCCGCAAGGAAAGACGGCGCCTCCGGGCTTTACTTTTTGCCTGACATTGGTGTCGTCGTTTTTTGTCGTATTTTTACTGTTATTCGCGGCACCACAACGAGTTATCTTGTTATTTCGACTGTCCATCGTTGATCATCTAGTGAGGGAAGATCGGCTGTTTTCGTTTCGTACCAACATTACGCGATAGGAAGACAGCGGATCTCGCACTTCTTATAATTTCCCTGCTAATATTTACGGATTCTAAGATGTATAGTACAATTGTGTTAGACGAAAAAATTTAACCGAGAAGAATGAGATTATGTTAATTGGCACATCGGTTCGCGCGGTCCATGCTTCCTAGAACAATTATTATTCCTGATTGATAGTCTAATAATTTTGTACTAACAACAGATAGATAGATAGATAACAAGGAGCGGGGGGCTTGTGAGACCCTATTGTCACCTAGATCTAACAACGGTGTTAATGAAATAAAAAATACATATATAAAGTATTTGTGTGTGTGCATATGTAATATAGATCTCTCAATATAATTATTTTAATATTTTTTTATTATCTATACACCCCCCTTATATTATTAAATTTTCCCACGAACACATGAAAACTTTGAAATATCTCTTTAACAACCAAAATAAAACGAATAAAACTTGAAACTATTACAAATTCTTTCTAATAGGCGAAAAAATATATCTAGCGTCGCAGATCTTATTCTGGATTAAGATTAATTGAAGTAATAAATTTTACCTCATCAGTGTCTGGCCGCTTTTTCTTGCGCCTGTAAGCTCGCTATCGCTTTGCCAGTGCCATATAATACTTTTGCGCGAACCTGAACTCTTCTCATGGTAGTACAGGTTGTCCCAGATGTGGACGATGAGCTTCCGGTGTTGCCACCGGCAGCCGTGCCTAACTGCAAAGTGCCGCCCGCATAATTCGCGCCCCTGCAACTCGTGCAACCCTCCGACATTGTGCTGTTCCTGATATTGTCTCGTGTTATTCTTGACAACTTCTCCTAATTAAACAAAAATCTCGCGATATGCACAATTTTAACAAGAATTATTTATAGAGGGTTACTATATATGAAAATAACATCAAGAGTTTTCTTATAGACTACAATCTCAGGTTGATCTAATTGAATTGTTGGTTTTTACTCATATAACTTTTAATATCGTTTTCTGACAATATTTTCTCTGATATTTTAAAAATTTGTTGAATCTCATAATTATTTTTAATAAAGAAACAGAAAAATTTCATTATAATAAAAATTTTTGAAAATCTTTTAGACGTATAATTCATGTTTAAAAACAATTTGTTATTAAGCTTTCTACACTTAATTTTATTAGTATCTTATTATTTATATAGTTTGTTGTAAATTTTTCATTTTTTTATTTGTTGATTCCAATGATTTTAATAATAGAATATTGTTGCAGTTGATATAATAATTAATGCTCGTTGTACTGTTGTCAAAAAAAACTATTTATTCAGTTGATTCTAGTTTCTCTGTAATTTCCAGGTTTTGGTCATTTTTAATGTAACTGACCTATATTTGCACAATAATATTGTTAATTATACTCAGACAAGTATTAATTACAGTTGAGTAACATCATACAATTAAGTGGACAATTTTTTGCCATTTTTTCGCAATCGAAGGCATGTCGACAATTTGTATAGTGTTGTGCAGCGTAGAGCTCTGACCCGCGCGCCGTTCACCATAAATCCGGGAAAATCTGGGTTAATTATACTAATGGCAATATATGGCAAACTTTTCTACCGATAACCTTACCGGAAAAAGGCAAAACTCCGTAAACTTCCTTACTAGCCTTAATGTATTTCCTATGGAGAAATATCGTGAAATACAAAAAAACGTTAATACGATAAAAATGTCCTTAAGATTAATCACGCGATTATTCTTTCGCGCGCACGAATATCATCTAAAAACTCTTTATGTTTTTAGGTACTTTTGAGAAATTAAAGGACAAACGTTTAATTACATATTAAAAATTTATTTAATTTATTTATTAACAATTTTTATTTTTAACAATATTTATTAACAATGAATTTCTATACTGTTTATTAAGAAGGTTTTTAAAAGTTGTTTTAACTATTTAACTAATTGTTTACATATTTTAAATTTTTTTGTTTTGTAACTTTTCTCTTTAACTCTTCGATTCGTTTTTCAACAAAATGCAAAGTTTGTACTTTCGATTGTTTTAGTTATTATATATATTACAGAAAACTTACTAGTACTGAAGTAGTGTTCTTTCAGTGAAATGAATTGAGCGACTCCAAGTCTTATCATGAACTATATCCCAAACTATCCCAGAAAACATCCCCTGACGTCTTCCATTTCCATTTCTTTGCAGAGGATTTTCACAAAGCTCATCGATGTTTCTGGCGCGTATCGATTTAAAAATCTGACGCGTTGCACGATTTTACGTGGATTTTTTTAACATATCGTTTTGTAACCGAGAAACAAATTTAAAATCGGTGACAAAGGCGATTCGCGTATCCGCGTCCACAGTGCGAAGGCGCCGTAAGAACTGATCGCTCGTGTTCCAAATAGCCGGTCGGTTGGCTTCACCGAACACTCGTCTCTCTTTTCTTCTTCTTCCTCCGTGTCGTGCCGATCGTTTGTCGTCAAAGTTTTCGTCGTTGCTGGAATCGTCGTAATCATCATCCACCTCTTTATCAAGAGTAAATGAAAGTGATGAGAATAAAAGATAATTTGAATCAAATTTAGATTCGTTGACATAATGAAAAAGCCACAATTATTAAGAATATTATTTTTACATTACGAATGTAACGCGAATTAGACTGAAAATTAGATGAAAAGAATTAACTCCGATGGTTTTTTATTTGTTTATACGAACATAAATTTTATAAAAATAAGAAATAACCATCAAATAGAGAAGGATATTTATTTAATTAAATTCTTAATAAATTAAAATCTTAATTTAATTTAGATACAAAGTATAATATTGTTAATAGTGACTTTTATTACATATATGTACACATAACACATATATATTGACTTTTGTTGTTATCTCTTTTCGCATGTTTACAAATATCTGATAAAAAAATCTGTATGCTGAAATGTCATACAATCTTCCCTTCCACATTTGCGGTCTTGACTCTTTTGCACGCGACTGTGTGAGTCACGATCATGAACTCCGCGTTAAAGAGGAAAACGAAGTAAGACGAAGAAGTATGAAAGAGAAAAAGTATGATATGCACACAATATACAGTTATTGTGCGTATACCCAGCTGCGATATGTAACCTTCGTTCTATAAAAATTTGTCCGGCGAGCGGTCGACCGGACCTTGTGCCCCGCATAATTCTTTCGCAACGTAGTGCGTGCACGTGCGCCGCGCGCCTGTATAAAATCGTATCGGCCAGCCGCAAGAGCGAAGCTGATCTGTTTTACGGGAACAGGAAGGCTCGGAGTTGCCGGATGTGTGTTTTTCTGAGCCTTAGCGATTCTTAAAACGACACGGAGGGTGTTGCGACTCGCGTTAGCGGAAAAAAGTGAGGTATCGGTCAGACACGAAAAAAACGCGCGTAATGATGGATCTTTTATTTTTTCATCTTAAATGACAAAGCCTCTCTTTCTCTCTCAATGTAAGATTTTTGCGTATAACTTGACATAGTGACGTAGTTAACGGCTAAGCACAACGCAGACTATTGTGTCGGCAAGCTGTTCCTGCAGCCGTCATGCGAAACGAGTTGGCGTAATAATTTGATTGATACCCGCGCGTTGCTCGTTGCATATTCAAGCGTGCTGCCGACTTGCTGCGTCGAAATCGCCATTAATGGAATCTGTTTTGCAAATTTGTGCGCTGCTTTGCGTCGATCCCCACCGTATCGATCATTCTTTGAGTAACATCGGCTCTCGCAATCTCGCGAGGAGATAAAATTGAGAGAAAAAAAATGACAAGTCGTTCGAGATATCGTTCATCAGTCGCGCGGAGCGATCGTTCTTTCCTTCGTGACGCGATACAATTAAATGTCAAAGCGGACTGACTACGACGTTGACCGAATAGCGTTGCGCTATCAGTATCTTGCGAGTGGGTCAGTCAACAACGGGGTCAGTCGAGGGCGAATCCGGACTACAGGTCAACCAATCGCATTCGTTCGCACGGCTTTCGTGTTTTCGCGACAATGAGTATATTAACTGTATACTATAACACACGCATACACAAACACACATACACACATTCGCGGCAGTTAAATTCGTGCTGGCACTACTGCAATGGCGTAGCGTCACTTTTGTCCAGTCAAAAGTAAGCTTCAAAATCGAACGTTTTGATCAGACGCAGCAAATGCGCATTGTTTTTCCGTATTTATACTCCTTACTTTATGTCGTATGTTTTTGGTTTCGAACAAATAGATCGGCTCAAGTTTTTTTTTTTACGTGTAACAGAACTGTGTTGCACGTAATTAGCAAATCTGACTGTGAAGTAAATTACTAACCATTATCATCGCGACCGCGTAATGAATAAGCAAAGCGGTGAATTACCGAAACTTTCTCTTGTTGCTTGGCATGCGCTCTCCTACAGCTTCTATAGCGTCATCCTGTGTAATCAGAATCTTATCTTACACTTATCGCGTATCCGCTTATGAGATTCAGTCAAGTCGTTTAGAAAAATCTGCTCGGCGGAAACTAGCTCGTCGCGGTACATTCGCCGGAAGAATTAAGTATAGGATTATACTCTGGGTAGGGGATAAATAAAGAGTAGGTGGTGGTTCTCTCAGCAAGACGAGAAACAGGACAGAAGTGGGTCAGCGGGACTATCGGTCGTCGAAGGTCCGGGTTCTCGTTTTGCGCGTGTTTGATTCACCGGAGATGATGATGCTGGATGGAAATGGATACAGGTCGTTATAGAAAAGATCAAAATAACAGTAGGAAGAATGCGCTTTAGATACTTTATGTACAAGTCGAGAAACAAAACCAAGCGAATTTATGATGTACGATTTTCTTCTATTTTGGAGTCTTATAATTTATTATTACAATATGATGGGTATTGTTTATGTGTAAAAAGTGATATGCATTATACACTTTGTATAATTTTTTTTATTTTGAAAAAGTTTTATTAACATTACATTTTTTATGTGTACATATATAATATTCCAAAATAGAAGAAAACTCACACCAGTTTTTACTGGTAACAAATAAGTTTGATCAAGGCAAATACAATGTTATAACTTTATTTCGTGCGCTTTTCTCACAAATACATCAGTGTCCCCGTGAAAAAAAGAGGAAGAACACTATCACAACGGGAATGAAATTATCTTTTCTATACAAACGTTAATTTGTGCTATTGTACACATTAGGGTTACGTACGCGTATGTCATTTTTTACGGATTCAAATGACACAGTTTACGATTTTCGTCTTTTTTTTTTTTTTTTTTTGATGTAAGGATAAGAAGGGGAAACAAACGGGAGAGAAAACAAGAATGTTGATGTTTGGATTCCGATTAATCAACTCACAATGTTG